CATTTTGCCGGTGGTCAATGTTCCGGTCTTATCGAACACGACGTGATTGATCTTGGTAGCAGCTTCGAGAACAGCACCGCCCTTGACAAGGATACCCTGCTGCGCACCCACTCCAGTGCCGACCATGACAGCTGTAGGTGTGCTGAGACCGAGAGCACATGGGCAGGCAAAGACAATGACCGAGATGCAAAGCTTGAGACAGACCATGAACTTGCCTCCGTTATTTTCAGACAAGAAGATCTTGGGAGGGTGAGGTAGGATATGGCTCATGAACATCCAGCCAAAGAATGTCACCAGACCAAGACTGATGATAGCTGGGACGAAATAGCCCGCAACAACATCGGCCATCCGTTGGATCGGAGCCCGGCTAGTTTGAGCATCTTGAACCAACTTGACAATCTGGCTGAGCTGAGTGTCCTTGCCAGCTCGAGTAACCTTGAAGTCCATGGAGCTAGTGCCGTTGACTGTGCCAGCAATGACAACATTGCCCTTGGCCTTGTGTATAGGCAAAGCTTCACCAGTAATCATACTCTCATCGACATAGCTTTCACCGCGAATGACAACGCCATCAGCCGGTACTTTGTCACCAGGGTGAAGGAGCACAACATCCCCTAGCTCGATGAGCTCCGTTGGGATTATCTTGTGCCCTGGCCCTGCGCGCTCCTCGGTGGCCGAGGATGTATGCTCCTGGGGCTTTTCGTTAGAACTTCCCCATTCCTCGGCGAGCTTCTCCGCCGCTATCGGGTCGTCGTAAATAGTAGTCATTGACGGTGCAAGGGACATGAGCCGGGAGAGGGCGGCAGAGGTTTGGCCCTTGGCCCGATTCTCCAGCCATCTTCCGAGAGTAATAAAGGTTATAAGCATCGTGCTTGTGTCGAAGACTGTACTTGGGCGAATATCGTTCACCGAAAGCAACGAAACAACCATGGTAAACACACTGTAGAAGAACGCCGCAGAGGTACCAAGCATGACGAGAACGTCCATGGTTGGTGAGCGATGTTTCAGGGATTTGTAACTGGCTACGTAGAACCGCTTTCCAATGCCAAATTGCACCGGAATAGTGAGCAGAAGACAGGCAACATCACCAAGGTAGAGACCGGAGCATAGCCTAACACGGCCGAAGTCAAGGGCCGGAAGATACATCGGCAGTAGCATATTGATCAGGAACACGGGGACTGCAAACGAAGCAGAAAATAGGAATGAGCGCTTCCATTCCCGAACCTCCTTGGTTTTGGCCAGCGATTCCAGCTGCGCATTGGTATCATCGGACTGGGACAGGAGGGCATTGTATCCGGCCTTTTCGATCGCTTCGACGATCGAACGAATACCAATCTTGGAGGACTCGTATGACAATGTGATTTGAGAGTTGGCCATATTTACAGACGCTGACGAGATCCCGGGGTTCTGATGTAGTGTATCTTCCAAGGCCGAGGCCGAGGCAGCGTCGCGCAAGCCGTGGAGGCTGAGAGTGACACGGCCGAGACCTTTGGATGTAGGCGCCTGTGCTTCCGATGAAAGGACGGTAGTGTCGAAACCGGCATCGTCGATTATGCTGACAATTTGTTTCGTAGTAAGGGTCGTAGGGTCGTGAGTGATAATCGCACGCTCGGCTAGCAAGCTAATGTTGAATTGCACTACACCGTCCACCCCGCTGAAGGCATTCTGTATACTCGACGTACAAGCACCACACGTCATACCATCTATAGACACCTTCGTGACCATCAACCCCGATGCAGAGCCCGACAAATCCTCCGAGGTGCGGACTGCGCTCTCCTCCGTCGAGGTTTCCAGCACCTTTGCGCCAAACCCACGGTCCTCGATAATCTCTGCAATCTGATCGGGCGTCACGAGAGATGGGTCATGCTCCACTACAGCTCGTTCGGAAAGCAGAGATACATTGACTGAATGCACACCAGGTGTATCCTTCAATCCTCCCTCCACCGCGGAGGTGCAAGCACCGCATGTCATGCCCTCGACGGCCAACGTCGTGGTTGACAGCTGAAACACTTTATCCCTGGCCCCGCGGGAACCATCCGCCGGCGTAGACGCACTATCCGTAGAGACGATCGTTGCATCAAAGCCGCAGTCCTCAATAATTTCGGCGACTTTCTCCGCAGGAAGCAGGGTTGGGTCATGATGGACTACAGCGCGGCCCATCATCAAGCTGACGGTCACTTCGCCAGCACCCTCCACCCCCTTGAAGGCGCCTTCGACGGCGGAGGTGCAAGCGCCGCATGTCATTCCCTCGACGTTGACTGTTGTGGTCGCCATATGGGCTGCTGATCGGTCGGAAGGAGCGCCATCGGTGCCGGCGCTTAACAGAGCGGAGGATGAGGCCGCCATGTTGCGCCGAGTTGCTGCAGAAGCCGGACAAGGACGGTCGGGACGCGCGGTGGTGTGTTAATGCATGCGTTCGTTTGGCAAGAGAGGGGACGAGGAGGTCGGGGGAGATAATAAAAGGGAAGGGAGGGGAAAGGAATAATAAGCAGGAAAATGCTAGTAACACGCAAGGGTCGTTCGATTAAGAGACATTCGGACCGGATGCGACGGAAAGGATACGCCGAGCCTTTCTAAACATGCAGCAATTAATTCCATCAAGGACACTAAGACAAGAACTACTTACTTTTCACTACGGATGGTACGGGAGCTGAAATGGGGGTTTTTGCACGGGAAGAAACCTAATCTTAGGCCACCCACAAAGAGCGTGGGATGGGAAGAAAGAATGGTAAACAGCAGGTAAAACCAAGAGGTCCAAGACATTCCAGGCGGCGGGAATCCCATTCAACCACGGACTAAGATTAGATCGAGGTCTGGAAGGAATGATGCCAGGCGCATCCCAACCCACCGCAACGATGGCGCTAACAGAAAAATACGCAGTGGATGGCGTCAGGTTGTCTCCGCCGCCCCGCGGACTTACGTGAGTATTTCTTTCCCAAATCGGGCAACATTGCCGCTTCAGGGCATTTGAAAGGCTGGGACCACTTACTTACCCTCGGGGGACCACTCGTAGTATACTTACTGTAGTCGAAGCCTAGCCGGTAATGACCTCAATACCGTGTTCATGGTTCACCTTTCGGATGAATTTTTCGGTAGGTGCAAGTGCAAAGCTATGCAGTAATATTGTCAATAAGATCGCATAGTATCAGCTGAGCTGTCCGATCCAGCTCAATAAGCCACCCACGCATACGCTAGCACAGATCTATCTGGCCTGTACTACCCATCTAACGGTTGCTTATCTGCCTGCACACGGGCTCTGGTATGAACCCTCCCCATGAAAGGGATATACCCAGACCTTTCGCCCAGACTGCCAGGGAAATGACCAGGTCTGATGCTGCGACACGAGAAGCATCATGCTTATTATATGCTCCATCCTAGTAGCAGCTGTCATGGGATATCAAACTCAGACAAGGACTGAAGGGTCTGAGGGGTGAAACACTTGGCACCGAACCGGCTTCGTTTCGATTATATGGAAAGTAGCCGAATCGGTGAGTTGAAAGACGGATTTGTCTGTAGTAAATCAACTGTAATATAGCTAGCAGTTAGGGGACTAATCCTTCACAGCCATCATGAGCAGATTAATTAACCGAAACGGAAGTCGACAATGTTATTGACTACAGCAGACAAGATCACCATTCAAACATACAATTGAATATCATTGTTTGCATCTAATGCAAACACCAGAGGAGACATCATTGCTCCTCCCATACCATCATACTAATCACTATCACCATCAACAACATCAGCACCACTATCATCCCTCCACAGTACCACAACTAATGGAACACTCATCACCACAATCCGCACACTGATACACATACCCATCTACAACCTCAATCACCCGCCCTACCAACCGAATCATCCTTACACCCCCTCATCTCCACAACCACCACCAGTATCACCACAAAATGGACCAAATACACACCCGGGCCCTCGAAGCCCTCCAACCATTCATCCACCTCACCACCTCCAACAGCGCGACCTCCCCACGCTTCATCACAAACCTAATCACCAACGCGACCTCCAACCCAAACACCTACGTATTCGCCGAACTCCTCACCACCCCAGCCATCCAATCCCTCCGGGACCCCAACACCCCAGCCGAATATGCAAGCTACCTGACTCTGCTAGAGATCTTCGCCTGGGGCACATGGCAAGACTATCAATGTAAGCCCCTTCTTCCCCCGCGAATACCCACCCACCTCTCCCCAACGTAATAATGTTCCTCTAACTGACTGAAAACAAGCAACACCCAACCTCCCCCCCCTCAACGACGCCCAAACACTCAAACTCCGACTCCTCTCCCTCCTCACCCTCTCGACAACCACCACCCCGCTAACCTACAGCTCCCTCATGACGGCCCTAAACATCACACAACCCTCGGAGCTCGAATCCCTCGTCACAAAAGCCATCTACGCCTCGCTGATCACCGCCCGTCTATCGCCCGCTTCCACCCCGCCCACTGTGAATGTCACTTCCGTGGCGCCGCTCCGGGACGTGAAGCCCGAGTCGCTGGGCAAGATGATCGATATTCTGACGGCGTGGGAGACGCGCTGTGGGGATGTGATTGGGGATATTGAGGCCGAGATACTGCGGATTAAGACGGATTCGGCGAGACGGAGGGCGGAGGAGCGGGAGAAGGAGGTGTTGTTTGAGAAGGCGCTTGCCGGATGGGGGGCTAAGATGGAGGAGAAGAAGGTTGGTGGTGGTGGCGGGGGGTGGCAGCAGGGTGGTAGGGGTGGTGGGGTGATTGGGGGGAATAAGAGGGAGTTTGCGGCGGATGAGTTTGATGATGATGATGGATATTGGGAGCATGGGCTTGAAGGAGGGGATGGAATGGGGGGATCTAGGATGGATATTGATGATGGGGCTGGAGTGAGGTTGGGTGGTGGTGGAAGTGCTTCTTCGGGACCGGCTAGACATCCTAAGCGGGTGTTGGGGAAGAAGTCATAGTTATTTACCTACAGTAGTGGTACTATTACTATAGGCGTGAGTCCCATTATAGCGAATAGCATGGTAGCGTTTCGAGTCTTCGATAGATTTTTAATGTAATCTATGAGTATTGGGAAGCTGAGAATGAAAGTTCATCAAGGTACTGCTGAAGAGTCCAACATAATATGGCATCAATAAATCATAATAATAGAATCTAATTACCGTGGACTAACCACAACACCAAAGCCTCAGAGAAATCGTTTAACGTACATGCAAATCCAGCAGATGAGGGGTATTATGTAGAAAGGTAAATAAACAATGAAAGAAAAACCCAATATACACAGGGTGTAGGGTGAGTGTGTGTGTGAAATGAACGTCGTGACCCGACGGACCTGGTGTGTCACGCCAGTCCATGGATAGTTGGTAGGTGTAAATCCCATATGCGATGGGACCAGAGGCATGAGCAGCCATCACTGGTGCTCCACGCACTGGGTATCTGCCCCTTCTCATATTAAGAGACTCCCCGAGGTCATTCGGGGAGGAAGAACTTCTCTTTGTATCCAGGCACTGAATTGGACCCAAGAAGCAAGATCGCTGGCTAACGCTCAGAAAGAATCAAGATGCACATATATGCTGCCCAAAAGCGGTATCACGCGGCCGTAGAAATTGAAACAGATTTCGGAAAGGAAATCGGCAAGGGTATACGCGATATTATGGAGATTAGAGCATAGTACCGGGCACAAAGATGAACAGTATACTCAACGCTGCGGCGACAAAGAAGGCGATCATCGCCGTGGCCGTGGCCCGCTTGTTCAGCAGTTTGCGCACGTATGGCTCGCGAATAGGCGACCAATTCATGAACGTGTACTCGCTGTAGCCGAGGAACGCCATGACCGGGTCAATCTTGTACTGGTACGAGACGATGAAGTAAGAAGCAATGGCAAAAGGTAAGATCAACTGGTCAGGTGTTAGTCGGATATCAGGCCTGTGGACGAGCATTGGCTACTTACCCAGCAACGAATATGTCGTGGTTTATCCCGGAGAACCACGTAGAACGCGCCCCAGAAGCCTCCACCGAAGCTAATGAGGGCAAACGCCAGCCGTGCGAGAATCGTCAAGGGGACCAGATTTCCCAAAGCTTTGGCCTGCAAGAACCCTGGAAAAGCGTCGCGCTCCATTGCCTGAAAGACATAGTCTTTCGCCGGATCGAATACTTCAGGATCGTCTCTGCCATCGTCTTCAATCAGATTGATGATGCCGGATACCATCTCCTCGGGGAGAACAATTTCTCTTTCTGCCCCGGGCAGCAGGTACGTGTAGAGGATCTTCTCTGCGCTGGCGCGAATATCAGCACGTGCCACCGTATGGCCTGGCGAAGGCGAGTCATTCCGAGTCCCAGAACTGTCCCGAGGTTGCAGCTCATTCGATGTGGTGCGAGCAGCATTCTGCGACCCAAGGCTGCTTTGGGGCGAGTGTCCGGATGTTTGGCCTTCAGAGCGGAGGAATGCCGACAGTCTCTGGTCGGCATCCCGGTCGCCGACATCGTTTAATCCATGGCGTGAGTTGGAGGGACCAGCTTCAACAAGTGGGATGTCGTTGTAATGCTCGAAATTATCCAATGCCCCGGAAGATCCTTTGCTGTCGGCTTTCTCAAGATCAGGCGTCGCTACCAAAACGGACCGACGTAGTTCCCGAACGTAATGACGACAGAGGGACATGTGTTGCGAGACATCGAGCCTATAATAGAGACATGGGTTATTAACAGCCCTCCAGCAGGTAACATAATGTTTCCCAATCATACCAGAAGTCCAGATAATCCACCGAGCGCTGTTGATCCCGCATATAGATATAGAAGGAAAACAGGTCGACGGGAGCGAGGGTCCGGCGACTGAGGACCTCGAAGAGCGTGGGGAGGCGATTGCGCTGCTCCAAGCTCGAAAGAGAGGGCGACGCCATGATGGAACGAATGTTGGGGATCTCTCTTGCTGAAGGGTAGGTGTTGGGTTTTTTTTTTTTTCTCTTCCTGAATCAGGCTCGAAGGAGCTGCGCCGCGATGAGGGGCCGAAAAGGGGAACGAGCGAACGTCGGATTTGAGTTAGGGACGGAGGTTTGACAAAGGAGTCGAAAGAGCAATTGGGAAGGGATCCGGCGTGTTATGTCTGTAGCTGATCGAGGGAAAAGGCTGGCGAGACGCGACGGGAAAAAAATAAAGAAGGACGGTCAAACAGTTGGAGTTCGGCAGTTGAGCATGAATTGCAGCGATACGGGGACGAATTGAGGCCTAAGTGCAAGCCAGGAGGCCCTGCAGAAGGTCGTAAGGTGTATTCCGAGGCAGTAAACAAAACAGCCGACCGACTGCAGGAGAGGTCAGGAAGTTGCGACAGAAGCCATCCAGGAGAGGCTCGGGAAGTGGATTCAATTCACAGGCAGCAACAAGAGCGAGAGGGAGAGCGAGAGGAGGAGGAGGGGAAAAGAGATTGACGAAGCCAAGGGTAAAAGCGAGGGAAAGGGTGTGGATGGCCAGCCCGCAGACACGCAGCGACGGGCGAAAAGACGACTAGTTTGGAGTTCGTTGATTCGTGATGCCTGAGGGAGGTGCCTGAGTCCCCACTCCCTTTTCAGCAATGGTTCCTCGCATTAACGTTTCCCCGAAATGACCTGGTTCCACTTGTGGCCGATCTTTTGGATCTTTTGACACTCGCCAAGGGGTAGCCGATGATGATGTTGATGACTGCTTACTGTCTACGGAGTAGAGAGAGGATGGTTTCTCCTTTTCTCTAAGTCCAGTATATGGAAAATACAATACAATCTCTTCTGTAATGCAGGAAAAGAACTTCGCCCCCCTCCCCAGTCACCTCAATTACGGCACTACATCCTCTGCAACCCTTCTGTTGGTCTCATCTACTGTCCAACCGACAGGCTCCATTCCACATCCATCCCACCCAAAAAAAGCAACCCACGGCGGATCCGCACCGTTGGTTCTCGGTCGGTCCATAATAATATGTGATTATTGCAGGGCCGTGGCTGGCAAACAAGACTAAACAGATTTTTTTTTTTTCCCTAAGTACCTTCCAATCTGCAATCTGTGCTTTATTTTCTAATAAAAGTAATAATAATCATAATCTCGAACAATGTCCATTTTGCCCGGGGGCGGGTCATGGACTGGACCGTTATTTTCCTGCAAGCCACCCCAAAAACGAGTATTTTGCTTTATGTGCACTGGGCAAATATTTAATTAGATTTGAAAAACCGGGACGGCAAATGATGAAAATCGTGCCGATGATAAGCCCAATGACCCCCCCGTTTCTGAATAATCTTCGTTTTAAGGTTACTCAATGATATCATTGTTTATGGTTCCTCTTTTTTTTCGGTTCCTATTTTCTACACCGAACTAGATAGCATAGAGTAACAGGCATATTGCATAGAAACTGAATTAACCACTTAGTGTACTTACTCTTCACCGCTATGTTCATGTCCTGCTTACTATTCAGGAAATATGCCAAATGAGCTTCTTAAGACACTTCTAAGCTAACGCCAAGGCTAAGGTTTCAGTCCAAACTCTCTAACATGTCAGACCTCCATGGTTTGAAATGGTAACTCCTTCATGGTCAGCTGGATTTCTAACGCATTTACGGAGATTCCAATCGACTGGTCTTATCTCTGCACCTTCTTTGACTGACGAGACTCATAGAGAAATTGCACTCCTGTATCTATACTAGACAATCCCGTTTCGAGCGAGTCCTTCAAGAATTTTATGAACAGATCCTACAGTATACATCCAGTAATGATTGATCCATGTGGTACGGATCGTGTCCATTCAGTTATTCCCAAGTTATATTTACCACTTCCTACCCAGTATACTACTATACTAAACATGCTACGGCGATTAGGAGGATAGTCGGGCAAGCCGTGCTTATTGAAGAGGTCTTAGAAGGACGTAACGGAGTTAACGGATTCGGGGTTCGGACTTCTACGGACAGTAATAACTATATCAAGGATCCCAAATCCCAATAGATCCAGACATAATCAGCTCACGCAGATTGATATCATCTCAACTATTCCATGCAAAAAAAACATGACGACCTCCAAAATCCTCGTTCTCATCACCGGTGCCAATCAGGGTATCGGCTTCGCCGTGGCACAGCAGCTAGCTAGCTCAAGCAAGTTCCATGTGCTAGTCGGCGCACGCACGACACTCAAGGCCGAAGCTGCAGTCAAGGAGCTGGAATCGGATGCCGTGGACAAATCAGCTCTCACGCCCATTACCATCGATGTGACAGATGATGCGTCCATCGCTGCAGCTGCGCAGACCGTCTCGGAAACATTCGGACGTCTGGACATCCTGATCAATAATGCGGGCATTGCACAGACACCCGCCACTACCCTGCGCGAGCAATACCGGCAAGTGTTCGATGTCAATGTGTTTGGCATCGCGGCTGTCATGGATACATTCCTCCCATTGCTGCGTGCATCGACGTATTCCGATCGCCGCATTGTCAATGTCACGTCCGGGCAGGGTCTGATCAGCAGAGCCGGCCACAAGGATCATCCGGCTAGCGCAAAGACCTATTTCATACCTGACTACCGCAGTAGCAAAGCAGCGGTTAATATGATCACCGTCGCTCATGCGGTAAAGCTGGCTGATGAGAATATTGCCGTCGTTGCGGCTGCCCCGGGCTACTGCCGCACCAGTATTAATGGAGGTCAAGGAGTCAAGGAAGCAAGCGACGGGGCCAGGGTCATTGTGCGCGCTGCCACAGAAGGCGACCCAGAGAAACTGAGTGGGACGTTCGTCGCGGACGAACAATGGAGCCTTGGGTGGTGATAGCGCGTTAAGGGAGCAAATAAGCAAACGTTTCTGAGCATGGCTGCGACCGATCAATGTGTTTAGTATTGTCGGAGATTATTGAAACACGAAATCGATATAAGAGACAGGCTAAAAGCTAAAATAAACCATGTTCTCCACGCCTGGGTATTTGTTCACGCCACGGAAACGCCTTTAAAGAACTCCAACATACAGAGTACGCTAGTATCAATGCCCGTCGGCCAAATGCTGTGTCATGTTAGCTATCGCGAACAGGATAGGTATAGGCCTCCAAGAAGGAGAATCAGGTTCCAATACTCACCGACCACTCCGGGATATTTCGTATCTGTTGCCACATGAACTTCTCTAGTTTATTGGCACTCTTCGCATAGGGCGTATTCTCGTTATTGTACCTCCGGCAATTGTCGAATATCAACATAGCATCTTTAATAAAGTCTTGCGGTGTCGGATACATGTCCTTCTCATGCTTTTCTTCCATGGTTGATAGATCCATGGGCTCCTTGATGACTTCATAATAGTCAGGAACCTCATCGCGATTAACTGGCTGAGTAAATGGCCATGCCGCGCTATGGTTCTGCATATCATTAAGAAGATGTAGCAGCTGATTGTAGTTGGGCCCGTGGCGTGGTTGACGTGCCAGTTCATCCATATCCGGTGACCATCCAGACTCTTTGATAGCCGGTATACTTAATGGATCGATCTTGCACGGACCATTCTTCCATTCCTTCGGGGGTGGGTGAATGATATGTGAGCGACTAAAGGCCCGGATCTTCGCGTGTACGGCTTCCTTCTGCTTCAGAAGCATGCGGCCAACCTCGAGGTACCGTATCTTAGGTAGCATGGTACACTGCATGATTGTACCACCCTCATAATCCTTAATGTATCCCATCCAAACGGATTTGTCAAGGGTTATTTCTTTAGTGAACCCTTGTTTCTTGAAGTACCCAATGGCGTAATTATCGGCGTATGTGAGGAAGTGCATGATGTCCGATGTGGCTTTGACATAATCCTTGAGATGAGACATTAAGTGCGCACCGTATCCTTTGACTTGCTGGTCGGACGAAATGGCACAGAAAACGATTTCGGCGAACCTGCGACTGTTGAATGGTCGGTATGTAATGCCTCCCACGACTTCCAAAGGGTGTTTGACGATGGCCAAGGAAAGATGCGACCTGTCATAGACCAATCGCGCGATGTAGTCTTTAGGCATCTTCGGAAGCTGTTTTTGAAAGATACATTTGAGGCCTGTAAGGACAACAAAGCTGTCGCGAGATCCATCATTGTTGACTACACGAAACTCGATATCGCCGCGACGTTCCTCCAGAACTGCAGGCTACCGTGGAGTCAGCGTCATCGGAGCTCGGGCGGGTTGCGGGCTCGATTGAGGGCTTACCTTCTCCGGGAAGGGAACGATTCTCGGTGGTTTATCTAGGAGGTCATCTTCGGCCTAAGGTAGGCACAGTACATCAGTCTCATACTCCAGACAAAAGCGAGGATATGCAACATACCTTGGGTTCCCTCTCGGGGGAGTCAGTGCGCGCCTTCTTGTGGGAATCTGGGGAGAGCGCCTCCTCCGATGCTTTCCGCTTGGCACCTAGAGCTGACATGAGCAAATGGACCAGAACAGTCGCAAAGACGCGTGATACAGCATGGTATACTTACTATCTGTGATTGCAGGCATGATGCGCGACGAATTCCGATGACTGGACGAAAGCGTCTTGAACCTCAGCCAGCGACTCTCTCCACACGAGCTGCGGCCGCGATACGGGGAGCGGAACGGGAAGAAGTTGATCCGCGGCCGTCAAGCCAGATAACCAATTACTAGTTCGGGCTCCATGGCATTACGACGACAGCTTGAGGGAAGCTCCCTCTCCTTCTTCTCCTCATTTCCTCGTATTTCCTCTCTTTAAATTACCTTCTCTCCTTTATACACAAGCCTTTGAAATTAAGCGCATCTCATAAGCCCTCATGTCTCTGAACGAAGTCTGGCAGGCAGCTTCTGCGAGCCCGTATACTCCCCCAGTCTCTAAAGACAGCCAGTTCTTTGTCGGCTTCAGTCTACTACTTGCTGGTAAGCCGGTCCCGACCTCTCACACTCACAAACAATTACTAACTTACAACAGCTTTCATCCTCACTGGACTTTTCGGACTGAGTCAGTACACCACGCCAGAGATCATTTCCACTTATGAATTGTCTTGCGCCATTGTCACAACCATATACTTACAACTTGCGCAGATCGTTCCTTCCTCAGCATCGCTTCCTTCGGAGTCCCGGCATCTTTGGCGTTTGGGTAAGCCACGAATCTACCCTAACAACAGCCACCCTATCAACCATCGCTAACAAATGCCCCGTCCAGCTTCGGAGCCGTATTCATGATCTGTGCCGTTGGGGTCTACGTTTAAAAAAATTACAGTTGTTTCCCAGATACCCATGTACCATACACTGGAGAGTTTGAAACGAAGCAAATCGTTACCTTTATAATCACCCAAAGTTCTCTTCGCACTCCAGCAATCTATCTTGACATAGCTCTCGAGTCTCTACTCTGTCGTGCTTAAGCCAATCCCACTCCAAACCATCATGACGGACACGGAACCCATTTTCACTGCTGTCTCCAGCGATGCCCACCACCTCTACACTCTCCTCCAATGCATCGGCTTCACATCCAGGGCCACGGTGCAAATAACCCCAGATGGAATCCGCTTCTCCGCCGAAGAGATGCGAGTCATCCAAGGACTCGCCTTCCTCGACAAAGCCCTCTTCACCAGCTACACCTTTAACCCACCAGCCGCGCTAAACCAAGGGACAACAGACAACAATGACAACGACGACGATACAACTTCCGACCCCTCCACCTACTACCCATGCTTCGTTGTCTCCTTATCCGCCCTCCTAGAGACCCTAAAGATCTTCGGCACCAACGACTCCTCCACCAACCCCAACGCCGGTCGAGCATCCAGCGTCCAACCAACCCACCCATCTGGACCTGGCGCCTTCTCGGCTCCCTCCTTACTTCTAGACCGCTCCTGCACAATCCGCTACACCAGCGAAGGCTCTCCCCTCAGTATCACTCTCTCCGAAACGGGCGTCAAAACCACCTGCGAATTAACAACCTACGAAACCGAAGGCAGCGAAGTCGACATCCCTCTCCAACGAGATGCCATCATCATGAAGATCATCATGCGCTCTGCCTGGCTCCACAACGCCATCTCAGAACTAGCCGCCACAAGCCCATCGGTGTTGAAGATCTCCGCCTCCGCGACCCGGGAACCATTCTTCGCTCTGTCCGGCACGGGAGGCTCGTTCAGCGAGTCATCTGTAGAATTCTCCGTCGAGAATGGCGGGGCTAATGGTCCGGGAGGTGATGCAAGAGGCTCAATTGATGAAGGGTCCCGTGCGAAGAAAGCTAAACTTGCGCCAACGGTCACGGAGACGTTCCTTGTCAGTCCGCCGTCGTCGATGGGGTCGCGTCTCAAGCAGAACTATAAGTTCGCGCTGATTCAAAAGGCGGCGCGTGCTATGGCGGTGGCTAACAAAGTGAGCATTCGTGGGGATCGCCAGGGTGTATTGAGTCTTCAGTTTATGATTGAGTTTGATGCTAATGGGGCTGGTGGTGTACGGCCGCTGAAGGGTGGTCCGCCGCCTGTTGTGACGTTTGTGGATTTCCGGTTTGTGCCGTTGTTGGATGATGAAGAGGGTGATGATCTGGAGTGAGTGGTACTAGAGAATATATGGATTGTGTCTATATAGTGGACTTGATGTGAAATGTCAAAAAGCAATATAGTGTTCTTTTTAAATTCCCCAACGCCGCCTCATGCTCATTAACCATACCGAATACTAGGTAATTTACATAGAACGTAACTATAAGATCGCTGATCAAATCACTCTTCCTTCCCAGATGGCGAGACCTGCAGTCCAAGCCATAAACGGAGCCTCGAAGAGTGGTCAAATCACATAACCTGAACAAGACAACATTAGTCCTGAAAAATCACTTCACAAAACCCGACTATGGTCCATATTAAGGGCAAAAGAACTGTGGTTGGTGGGGGTGGGAGAGTAAGAGCAAACATACCTCAGCAATAGACTGCCTCTCAATAATCGACTTCTGCTTCTCATTCCTCGAGACCCGATAATAGTAATCACTAAAGTCACCGCACTGCATATGCCGCAAGAATTCCTCGTCATGGGTAATGACAATAAGCTGGAAATTGGCCTGTTGCTGTCTAGTCCTAATGATGTCATGAAGCGATTCCGCAAGGGAGCGAATATTATCACGGTCAAGGTTCGTCGTGGGCTCATCAAGAGCAATCAGGCCGCAGTTGACACCGAAGCACTCCGCAAGAGCGAGTCGGATGATGATACTTGCCAACACCTTTTGACCGGCACTGCAGCGGCCGCGCATGTCCATTTCTGCGCCTTGTTTGACCATGCAGACGCGGTAGTTGTAGGAGCGGTTGCCCTTGGCGTTTTCGTTGTCGGAGCGGATGAGGATCGTGTCGACGTCAGTGCCTCGGTAGGTTTTTTGCCAGAGCTCGCTGATAATCGCGTTAATTTCTTCCATTTTGAGCCCATGGTATTTCATGATGGCTTTGTCGAGGGCACCACCGTAGCGTGCTAGGTCGTCAACTGCGGCTTTGGTTGTTTCCACCTTGATGTGCGCTTCCTTGTATTTGCCTGCTGCGTCTTTGTAGTCGGTATTCCAGTCTGCGAGGAGCTGCATCAGTTGGTCGTCTTTTCCTTTCATCTCGCCCATTTTGCTGGCTTGTTTAGCGGCGAGTGCGTTGTGTTCTCGTGCTCTGCGCTCAGATTCTTCTTTAAAGCGGCTTCGGTCGACTTCGGCGTTTTGCGCCGCCAGCTGCTCGATCTCTTCGGTGACTGCGTCGAGAGATCGGGTCGCCTGTCGGTATGTCAGGTTATCGGCGTATTGGCGCTTGGTGTTCTCGCTGTCCTTGAGTTGAGCAGATATCTTGTTGATCTCTTTAGTGATATTGGCTTGCTCGATTTCGAGATTGCTGATCTCGTTCTCGATGCTTTGCAGTTCACGCTTGCTGCGCTCTAGTTGATGAGGGCCGCCTCGCTCGTTGTAGGCGTCGATCTCCTCGTTTGCCAGTTCAAGTTGGTGTACATTCTCGTAGAGGTGTGAGATCTCCTGCTGCATGTCCTTTTCACGCGCTTCAGCACGCTGGCTGATGTCGTCGTACTTGGCTTGGACCTTGAGAAGTTCAGGGGTTAGATCTTCAATCTCTTTGTCCGCCTTTGCAATGGCTTCGCGTTGTTGGTTGTTGAGGTTCTTGTACTCCTCAATGCGAGCCAGGAGGTCTGCCTTTCGCTCGAGCTTGAATTTCACGTTGTCGAGGTTGCTCTTGACGTCTCTGAGTTGTAGCTCCAATTTGTTCATCTCAGACAATGTTTGCTCCTTCTCATGAGTGAGTTTCGACAGAGTCTTCTTCAAGGCTCTAGACTTCTCGCCGATTCCCGCAATTTCATCCTGAATATCTTCCAGTGTACGAGACGCATTCGTATCGTGCTGTTTCGAAGACAAGTCCTGGACCTGAGAGCGTATGGATTTGATTTCACTGTCGTATCTGACAATAGTATTGACCGTCTTTGACAATGACTCAACCTCTTTCTTTTTGTCGGCCTTTTCGCTGACTATCTTGTCGTTCTCTTCCAATTGGCTCAGTAGTTTGTCTTGTTGAGCAGTATACTCTTCTTCCTCTTTCTCCAGATCTGGAATCTCTGTCTGCTTCAGCCGACACCAGGTATCGTAGGCTGTGCTGGCCTCGCGGGCGGTATTAAGGTCCTCTTCGAGACGGGGTATTTCGTCATCCTCCATCACCCGTTTCGCTCTTTTCACCAACCCTTCTAACTTGTTCTTGAAAGTCTGTAGCTCGTTTTCAGTTCGGAAAGTCCGCATGCACAGTCTGCACATGTTTGCCGACTTCACGGTGTCAAGACAGTCGGCCATGTACTTGCTGACTCCGGCGTATTGTTCAGCGTCCTTCCTGGCAAGGTCGAGCTGGGCTTGACGCTCTTTCAGAATCTCAGGGTATTCTTCCGGTTCGTCATCAACGGCATCGCGGATCTCTTTGATGCACTCCTTGAGTTCCTTTTGTCGCTGACTTAGTGTTTTCTTGACGCCCTTCATTTTGAACTCCACCTGCTCGAGTTCTCTGCTGACTCCATCACGCTCGCGCTCTGCCCTTGAGACATGTCTGGATTCCTCCTCTATGACGTGCTGGTAGTCCTGCTCTAGAGATTCAGGGCGCCAGTTGGCATTTACAAATTTTTCCAGTCGTTCACCGTGAGCTCCTTTCATCGTCTCCAATCCGCGCTCCCGTTCCTTTAATTCCTTCTTAAGGTGGTCTAATCGAGCCAAATCACCAGCCTTCTTTGTTGCCTCGATGAGCTCGGTATTCAAGCGCGAACTCTCGTCCTCAAGGTCGCGGATCTGTGAGTTCACATTCTGAATCTCCTTGTCCCAAGATGCGGATCGTGCGCGCTCCTTGGCTTGGTCCAAACGAGATCCGATGTCTTCAATGTTTGACTCCAGCGCAGCCTGAACGCCTTCGTCCACGTTGATCTCGTTGAGTTTTCCCTGGTATGTGGCTGCTTCCCTATCATTCGAGGCAATCTGTCGCTTGGCTGCATTTTTGCTTTCCTGTAGCGCAGACTTCTGTTGTCCGATCTGGTTAAGGGTTGCCTGGACGTCACGTAGTTCACTTTGCGCCTCCTTCTTCACCCGTTCCAGTGCCAGGTTTTGATCTTTCAGGATTTTTCGCACTCTCCGCATGAACTCGTCAACGTCTGCCTGGTCCTCAACATTATCGTAACCACGGATATTGTGCGCTCGAGCGACCTCTTTCGTCATCCTCTGTCGCCGCTCAACCTGGCGCTCGAAGTTGGCTTTGTCGTTCTCAAACTTGCCATACTCTGCTTGCTTGACACCCAGTCTTTGTCGAGTTTGTTCTATCTGCTCCTTGAGCTCCATATAGTTCTCCTTCTTGGCTTCTTCTTGCTGCTGGTACTGAAGCTGCCTTGACTCAAACTGCTCCAAGTTCGACTGTAGCCACTCATCGGAGTCGTCTAGCTCAACTAGGTGTCTCTTGAGATTATCAATAGTCGTCTGAATACTCTTGGCCTCGATGCGCTTTCCTTCAAGCGCACCCAAGACCTGAGAGTAACTTTCCGACTCCTTCCACGCCTTATCAGCAAGTTCAGCCACCCGGCGCATTTCCTGAGAGAGCTGGTGTGTTTCTTCGCGCAGAGCTTCAATTTCGTCCTGAAGCTTTATCGATCGTTTCTCTGCACGGTCGGCCTTCTCCTTATCCTCTTTGGCATGTTGCTCCATGATTTTGTACTTGGCAAGCTCCTCATTCTGCTTCTTCCGTAAAGACTTGATATTGTCGATCGCCTTCGTATACTTCATAGCTTCGAATATCTCATCGAACTTCTTCTTCAGCACCGAGGGTTCACTCATTGGCCACAAGCTCTCGTCCTGATGACAGAATATAACGGAGTCCAGGATCGCCTTTGATACACCGAGATACTGAGGCATGATCTGATCCAGCTCCGCCACGCGGGAGGAAATAGACGTCCGCTCACCATCTTTGACCATCAACAACTGACCCTCTAGTGTCTTTTGTTGCCGTGTTGTTTTCTTCACCGTGAGTTGTAGACTCCTCGTAGCGACCATCTTCGCGCCTGACGTGCCTTTGAAGGACAGTTTCACCTGGGCCAGGACTTCCTTCTCGCCACATAGCTGCCATAATAACTCAGCACGTCTGTCCATCCTACTCAACACCATATCTTATAGAATCGCGTACCTTCGGATCGTGGATGAACGCACCACCCTTGCTGTTGGGTGGTAAATCGCCGGTGGTCGCATATTTAAGACACTCGATGATTGTCTGGCCCCAACTCCATTAGCCTGACAACCTCCATGATACCATCATATACCATCCATCATACCGTCTTTCCAGATCCATTATACCCAACAATCAACGTAAGCGGCGTGTGAAACTGGATCGTCTCGCTGCGCGTATTATCGAACGACCGAACACTAGCGCCCATCACAAGCAACTGTCAGCAAAACACTCCTATACATCTCTCCATCCATATAAATTATGAGAAAGGAGCACTCACCCCAATATCGACAACTTATCTATCTTCGCTGCGACGAACAAACCCCCGATGGTTAGTACCCTCGATCTTTCACACGACCTCCGCGGAACTTACACCTGCGGACGGACTGATTAGTAAAGAATGTTTGTGGCCGGAAGCAGAACGAAATCTCACATTATGGAAGACGTCACTTCACAATGGAAGGGTAACAAAAAAATGAAGAAAAGGCCCGGTCCGTTTCCACGGATGCTTAAGGGTAGGTAGCAGGCCTGCAAATCACACCTTCCCCGTGATATTCTTTCTCCACTCGGGATAAAGAAAGCGTGCCGGATAGATAGCGAGCAGCTGCGCTTGGGATCGGCGCGTCAGTCGACGCGGGGAGACGGCGCGAGGTCACGTGTGTGAGCGGTCAGTTGGGGGGGGGGGGGGTGGATATTGCTTTCCAGAGAACACCACTAGGATGGGATGGAGTAGGTGGCGCTTAATGTTGTGGAGATACTTTGGTAGAGGCTTAATTGGATGGTCTGTGGCTTGCTGATACTTTCTTTTCGGGGCATGCTTTTCCTTCCTTGGAGGGACTCTGTACTTCTTCGTGGAACTTAAGGGGACGGACGCTCCGTTCTTGGTTGGGTAGAAGAGCCACGACTGAGTTGACTACATGGGCTATGGGATGAAGTTCCTGCCGGATCCTAGTAGCATACAAGTAAGTAGAGGATATCCCTACGCAATATACGTGCGTTAAGCTATTCGATATCAGACTGGCTGCAACAGATGAATCACTGGCAATCCTATCTGGGGGTTTTCATGTTATTTGACAACATCGAATCGCGCAATGCAAAGACTAGCAGATTGTGTATTGATACCCCTACCTCTTCGCTGTATGCCGTGTTGCACGTACCTCTAGGTTCAAGAGGCTGTGCCTCAGATGTAAATAGCGGGCATGGCAACTATGATGATATTGACTGTAGATTCTTTGGGCTAGAGCGGTTACTCAAGTGCACATAGTGCTGATTTTGCGAACAATAGGTGTCACATACAAAAGGCTCACCCTACCTTCCAGCCTTCTCTCGTTCAAGGCTCTCTTCTCTCAAACCTATCCTCTCATCGAACCACCCCTACTCCACTCACATTCAGATACTGTGTCGGTTCACCTCCATTCAGGATGTTTCACTTCAAGAACATCATCGTTCTCTTGTGCTTGTTCTGTCTCTTCTTCAAGGCTAGCCTGGCTACTTCTTCTGCCAACCCTACCGAAGTTGCCAACGTCGATGATGTAGTTGCTGGGAATATTGGCACTGCAGCCGTCAATAACCCTAACGAGGCCTTCGACGATGTCGACGGCAATGGCATGTCCATGGCAACCACAGATGTCGAGGAAGAGTTGAACTCCGTAAACACCATCCTATTTGGCTGGTGGGACCAATGCTAACCGAGTTCAAGAATTACCGTTTCTGCGAAGGCAGATGCAGCGTTTTGAAAGTGTGCAATTGCCATGATAAAGATTATCATTTCTGTGGTTGTCACTATCATGGACTGAGGTGCAGGTGCAAATACTAGTTGTGATTCAACAGTAAGTAGATCTTCCAGCTGAGTGGTGCGTCAGCAAAGCTGATGTTGTCTCTGGAAAGGAGCGGCCGCCAAGCTTCCGTTCCTCCATGTGCATGTCGTAGTTGCTTCTGACGTGTCGAACAAGATAGACGGTGGGGCTTGACTAGTCATGGCCTCGGTCTCAGAACATGTGGAAGGATCCTGGAATAGTGACGGCAGTAATTGTGGTTCTCAGGTTCCCTGGTAGGGCCTTCACATTTTTTTGCCAAATTGTCAATCGAAGTAGATTGGTTATGTTAATGAATCTTCAGTTACTGTGGCACATAAGTTTATATGGGCTATAGAAAGAGCTATGGTATCAGCCATATCTGACCGTCTCATGCTCTGCGTAGTAGCTCGTCATCTGTAGTAGCGTAAGTGGGAAGTGCATTCATCCTTTGTAAGGCTGGAAGGAAGAACATGGCATGAGCATGGTATCAGACTCCCCAAGACAGGGGGATCATCCCGCCGGTAGGACATTCCGGGTCTGGTCTGCGCCTGGGCTCGCTTAATACTCTAGGCCATCTCCACCAGCACCGAACAGAGTCCAATGTACCCGTTCGCGTGGGTGCGGTGTGGTCTGACGTCTGCAATTGCACAGACGGGTGACCGTTAGCAGCTGCAGCTTCCCAGCTTTGCATGTTCTCTCATGATGGGATGGCAGATATCGTAAAGGGCGTTCGGTGTGAATATCCCACGGAGATTAAAAGAAGGCAAATGCGGATTGCAGGCTCCTCAAAGGATGATAGTCGAAATAGTCGATAGATAGTCGATAATTTCATCTATTATTGATGCCTGATATCAGCCCACGACAGTTAAAATTAGTAGATGGCGGCGCTACGCGATGCACGTCCCTAGCGGATCTAACGGAAGCCAGATAGTCAACCCGTGCTTGACAAGATAATCCCACACCACACCACGCAGGATGATGTATGCTTCAGGGATGAGGTGATCGTGACAGGAAAGGAGTAGGAGTAGAGGGCCAGTCAAGAGGGATAGAATCCAGGATAACCCATGGGGTGTATCGCAAGCGGAGCGCAAGCGAAGCAGCAAGAATACCCAACTTTGAAGCAATGAAGCATCGACCGGGATGCCCCCTGCAGCAATCATACAGACATACCGACCTGTATTGTACAACGGTACCTGAAAGTTTCCCGACGCCGCAGTAACTGACCAATCAGCAGCCCGGATAGTGCGGAAATCCCCGGGAAGCCCCATCGGCGGATTTGATTGGCAGCCGCAGTGGATCCCGCGTGTCGGTGCGATACCAATGACGATGTGGCCGACCAAAAGTACAAGAATTGACAGCTCTACTGGATTCACCACCGCGGTCATGTCCAGAAAAAGTCCAAGAAACACTGCTCACTTACCCTCTCTTCTTTCTCTCTCTATCTCCCTCCAATCCCTTTCTGTATCATATTCTTTATAGGGAGACCTACCGAGTTTTTCACCCCCCGGGAAGAACAGTCCCCACCACCCCGGCGATCGATCGATTTGATCCCCGCGCAGCCCAGCGATGGAACTCGAATTCCATCAAGGACGAAGAGTGGCGCAGAACCAGACTCCGTCCCAGGCATACGGTCTACGAGCCCCAGTGTCGAACTCAAAACCACCGGGGCCCCCGTATAGCATGGACGCGCGGAGTATTCCTCGCTCGATGAGCCGCGGCGCCGCTAATCTGCTTCAACTCTCCGCTTCCACTACCATCTCTTCTTCCGCTGCTGCTGCTGCTGCTGCTACCACTTCAACGACTCCTGCCACTATCACAAGCACAGTCCCTGCTCTTGCTTCTATACCTACAACTACTACAGCGCCAGCGGGAACCAGCAATCCCCACCACCCCACCCCCGACATAGGCCCTGCCGGCACCAACAATGACCGCTGGTCTGCACGAGTACTAGACGAACTGAAAGACTTGCTCCTTCTCCTCAGTCACGATGGACAGGTTCTATACGCGTCACCATCATGCTCCGAGGTGACGGGTATTGAATCGCACATGCTAGAACAAAGCGATTTCTCCCGTTTCGTCCATGAAGACGACAAGCCTATCTTAGGCCACGAATTGGACGAGTGCATCAAAACTGGACGCGAAATCCGATGTCACTTCCGGCTCTGTAGGCCTGACAGTAGCTCTTGTTTGTTAGAGGCGCATGGACATCCACACCTAATGACGACCGGGTCTGCTTCTTCTGCGACCGCAGAATCATCCCAGCAGTTGCAGCAACAGAAGACAGTCTGTAAAGGGATATTTCTTGTCTGTCGACCATATCCCACGCGGGGTTCACAGTTACTCGATTCGTTTCTGGAACATAAGATCGAGAACATCCGGCTGAACCAGCGCATAGCCCAATTGAAGGAAGAGGAAGAAGAGGAGTTGAATTCGAGACCAGGGCAGACGTCAACAACAACGACAACCAGCACCACTACCACGACGACAACGCGCCAGACGTATGTATCAACGACACAAACCTCGTTTGCGCAACGAGATACATCAGTATCTGGAGAGGAGAATGAATCATCCGACACATTCACTAATACGGACGACGCCGATTCGCGATCATTTCTGGAGCAGATTGGGGATCGGTTGCCGCAGACTGAAGACATGTCCCATATCGACGGGATTGAGGTTATGACGGGCTTGTACTACGGAGAAGGAGAAAGATCACAGGGATTGAGTACGGGAGTCCGTCATGCCCGTCTGATTCGTTGTGATGCGGAGCAGCCGAATACCGTTGCTGCCGGTTCTGCTGCTGCGGCGGCTCCTCCAAGCGACCAACAACAGCAGCAACAATTGCAACAGCAACAGCCACAGCAAACACCATCCAAGAATCCTGCAGAGGCCGTTGACAGGAAGAAAAGAATGAAAGGCGAGTATATGTGCACGGATTGCGGGACGTCGGACTCACCCGAGTGGAGGAAAGGCCCGGAAGGACCAAAGACTCTGTGTAACGCTTGTGGCTGTGAGTTTCTCCCCCTCCTTGATCATCTGACTGGATAAACTTCTGTATCGGTACTGACATTGAAATGTGATCAGTACGTTGGGCCAAGAAAGAGAAAAAACGCCAGGATTCAGGACCGTAGTAGTTGGTGGGAGGGGGGAAACGCAAAGAAAAGGAAAAGGAAAAGGAAAAAAGGTGGGGCTTGCATTTGTATGAATTGTCATTTACTTTCTACTGCTTTGCTGCTGTTGCATTTGCCAGAAGGGGCCAATATACCCCCTGCGAGGATACCCCTGCTTATGTACTCCTTTGTGCATTGTGCTTTTTCTTGTTCTCCTCGGTAGCACATTTTCTTAGCGGCTGCGCTGTCACAGCATTTGCACTTATTGTGCTCTTTCTCCTCTGAAGTGAGCAGATTTCATGACTTTATGCCCGACTCACTCGAACTATATTCAGCTCAGATTGCAACATAACTTACAACTATAATAAAATCCGCGTGATACACGTGCGCAGGATGATATATACAATTGAGTCTCGAGAATGTAGTTGTAGGGATACGATAGGATATCCGGATAGAAAGCACCAAAGTAGATAGAGGAGTATGAATCCTTTGACTCCAGAGTTTAATATAAGTCAGTCTACTATCGATGTTAATTCATCAACTATAAGCAGGAACTAGGACTATAAATTATCATAGTATAGATACCTCTAAACACAGTAGAAATACTAATGTCTCAACGCTCTTCTTCAGTCGTAAGATAGACTGCTATACCGCTTGTTTCCTCGCTACCTAAGTTGTTAATAGTCAACAATATAAAGTATATTCAGCTCAAAGCCAATTTATTCAAATGAAAAGAGTCAGTCATATATTAGTATAGTTGCTGATCAGGGTGGGATTATCAGTGACTAACCAATTCAGATATAGCCTCCTAGAACCCTACACAACTCCGTGCAAATTACAAATAACGCGTACTGATATGCAAATCATCACTTCTATTAACTAATCCATCTAATCATCATGATATCTAAACTAATACTATGTCCCTGGTGCGTATATACTCAAGCGATCTATATCTAACAGCATGAAGAGATGATATCTTATCTTAGCTGCACCGCATCAGTTCTTGTTGGCTCCCTCGTGGACCGCAGTCAGTCCATCTTGAGCAACCTCCTTCACGGAAACCTTTCCACCCAGGATGTCCTTGGTGGTAGCGAGAATCGACTCCCAGCTCTCAAATAGCGTGAACGGGATCTTCTCGCGCTCGCAGAATGTCACCAAATCTGAAAAAGAGTCAGTAACTACATAATGCAAACCTCAATGTCAGATCTTGGTAAACGCACCCTTGCCCTTTTTGGCAAACAGAAGATCAGTCTCTGCAGCGGCTGACAAATCGGACACGCCATCTCCTGCGTACAACAAGGTCGGGCGCACACCGTCCGGCAGTGCGGCATAGGGCTTGATTTCCAGCGACTTGTCGTGGCCGAAGTGGCTAGCAGTATGACGTCAGTTCTGGCCCAGCGACCGGTTCCAAGAAGATTCTCTTACCTATCGTCATGGTACTTGATCTGCCAGCCACCCTCGGAGTTGATGTCCTTGCCATCACGGCTCTCGACCTGGTTGGCAACGATGTAGAGGTGATCGTCCGGTTCGCCGCCCAAAAGCGTCTCGAAGAGGGCGCTGATGACTGGGATCATGCCGGAAGACAACACCACGATCGGGACGTTGTTCTCCTTGGACCATTTGTAGAATTCCACGAAGTAGGGATCCAGCTTCATGTTCTTCTTGAGGTACTCGATGCACTCGTTGTAGGGGGTTTTGATGCTGTCCAGCATGTCGCGAAAAGCGTCACTTCGCAATAGAGGTTAGCAGGGCGTCTACATAAGCTGTCTGTACTCACATACCGGAAGCTCATGGTGCCCTCAAGGACGGCTTCATTGCCTTGACGGCGCTTTGCGCGCCCGTAGCCAAGATTATCGATCTTGTGACCAAGTGTCAGTGACATGCAGGTTTAGTGGTGTACTTGTAGGTTGTAAAGGGTAGATACCATAGCATCATTGCCTGCATAGAGTACTTAGCTTGTGGGCTTGCTGTGCGAACTTCGTCTGTACCTACTGTCTTCGAGGGTGATCGTTCCATCAAAATCGGTGAAGAATATGAGCTTGGGGTTCGTTTTCATGTACGGTAGCGCGGTAACAGTCATGATGAAGGCCTGGTCGCTTTGACTTCGCGGCGATAGTTCTGCAGTATCGGTGTTAGTCTCACTGTCGGTTGAGATATAGGAACTGATTAAAGGGCGCGATCTGTTGCGCATGTTTGGGTGATGCTCAAAAATATACGACGGCAATAACTCTGTTCTGAGAAATGGAACAGGGGAAACAAACCTAAATCAAGGACGGCAGAGGATGGAGATAAACCGGTCGGATATCCGGTAACAAGAAGGAGAAAGATGTGAACTTATGAGAGAGAGAGAGATGGAGCGATTTCAAGTAGAGAGAAACAAAGAGAGAAGAGAAAGAAGAACCCCGCGGTGAGAAAGCAGAGAGACTAGACTCGATCAAGTGCAAAGGAGGGACAATCACCACCAACGATGGACCCATGCGGAGTTCCCCATAATTTCCAGCGCGACACTAAAAGCTGGAATTGTCCTCTTTTCGGTGGAGCCCGTCTTATTTCCCTTGTCTAATGCTAATTTTCTGACTATTCTGGGTCTAGCCGAACCGAGTATCTTCCCGGCGAGTCTCCAAATCAAAGTCCCGAATTTTTGATGCTCGATCTTTTCGGCGCCGATACTTTCTCGGACACTTGAATTGAGGGCATTACTCTCTCCGAGTCATCCCACGCCATGGCTCGTCTACTGCAATCATTGCGTCGAGCCCTAGGCTTAACATCTTCCACTCCGGTCCCTCGCTATGCCCGCTCAATCGACACCAATTTCTCCGTCTTTCAAGGTATGTCACACCTATTATTCGACTGAACGCCGTTCGCTCGTTCACAGTTTGCGCGCCATCCCACACTAACAGATTAAATCCACCACTTAGAGGGAGATAGAGTTGTGGTCCATGGCAAGTCGCCGCTCCTAAGCAAACCCTTGCGGAAGGGTCATAAATCCGACACTCGTCGCGGACAATTGGAGCACGACAACATCATCGGCCGGAGGGTACGGGATCTGGTGCAGGCGCGGAAAGGTCAGTTATCTTCCTCATTCCAATATTTACCTAGCCGGGCGCATTCTAATAATCTCCATTGAATACAGGCCCTGAATACCGACTCTCCCTCCCTACGCTCGAAGAATATGTTGCCATGACCCCCCGTCTAGTCACGCCGGTACGAATCTAACTACACCATCGTCAACGAATACCACGACCACCCCCAACTCCTCATTAACGCATGCCATTAGATCTATTCAGCAGACGCCAACCTCATCGTTTCCCTCCTCGACATCCACATCGCACCCCCAGCCGAAGGATCAGACACACCGCCCCTTGAAATCCTCGAATCCGGCACCGGCCACGGCTCCCTGACCCTACACCTAGCGCGCGCCATCCAAGGCGCCAACTTTACTCCTCCACCCCTCCCCCCAAGCTCGCAAGTCACATACCTACCCACCAAACCCGGCGAGGTCTCGACCCGCAAGTTACAGCCGCCCGCAGATGGCGCTTCAGAAACGACCGTGGACCCTGACCAGGAGAACTGGGACGCCTGGCGCTCCCAACGCAAAGCAATCATCCACAGCGTCGACGTGACGCCCAAATCCTCCGTCCACGCCGAAGGTATCGTCCGGAGTTTCCGTCGCGGCATCTACGCAGGCAATGTGGATTTCTACGCCGGGCACGTAGAGGACTGGATCGCAGAGCAGAAGAGACAACGCGCACCGATAGGCCTCCTTTCCTCGCTCAAGAAAGATGAAGTTGAGCCGTTCCTCTCCTACGCAATCCTGGATATGCCCTCCGCGCATCTACGGATTCCCCACGTCGCCTCGATCCTGAAGCGGGACGGCATCTTAGCTGTTTTCATGCCGAGCGTGACGCAGATCGGCGACTGTGTGGAGCTCATTCGTCGACAGAGACTACCTTTCGTCCAGGACAAGGTTGTCGAGCTCGGAAACGGAATCAGCAGTGGTCGGCTCTGGGATATCCGGCACGCGGTGAAGAAGTCCCGGGATAATGTGTCGGTGGCTTCCTCCACCGAGGAGGGTTCCGGTTCAGAGGAGTCCGTCGAGACGGGTGCCGTGGAGACTGAGTCTGCAGATGTTGCTGAAGAGAAGACGCCCAAGGAGGAAGACAGTGTGCTAGTATGCCGGCCAAAGGTTGGCGCGCGGATTGTGGGCGGTGGCTTTGTTGGAATCTGGAGAAAGATAGAGGAGGATGCGCGGAGGAGCTAAGCTGAGCTGAGCTGAGCTTGCATACGATTTCCCGTTTTATATGCCTACCTACCTGCAGTATTCTTGGATACCCATTTGTACCATAACATGCATACCATAGAAGAAAGAACTACCTCATGTACTATTACTCAAAATTCAATTACTGTCCTATGACCATCCTCGAATACGATGATATCAGACACACCACACTCCATTATTCAAAAGAGCATACACACATGCATTCACCGAACTACAATCTAAAACCTAGATAAATAGATAGAGAAACCCCCCAACAGTAAGAGAAACAAAGAGAAAAATAACGAAATAAATAAGAAGAGGCTTATTCAAATATACTAATAGCAAACGCACTACCACCCATTCTCGATTCCCCATACTAAAACAACAGCTTAAGTCAAACCAACCACCCACTCTCTCTCTTTCTACATCGAGAAAAAAAGAAAAGATCAACGAACAAACAACAAGCTCAGCAATAGACGTCAAGCGATTCCCAAACCAACGAAGCCCAAACCAACAGGCACGTACGTAGAAGAAGACCGCCGACCAACCAGTAGTAGAAGTAGTAGTCGCCTAAGGATACAACGAGCACATACATACACCACACACACAGAGAGAAGAGGTACAGATGAGACCGATTCGCCCGCCTAAGTGCAAAACATTGAGATGAGATGAAGAAAGGTTAAGAAAGGAGAGAGAGAGAATCCGTTCGTGAGATTCAATCTACAACAGGTGGAGAGAAAGCATATTGGAAAGCGAAGAGAAAAAGTATCGTCGTTAAGAAGAAGAAAAGGCATAATCAGATCCTAACACATACCAAAGCTGGGAGGAGGAACGACGTAGTAGATAAGAGAGCGTGAGAGAGTGTGAGTGTGTGTTGCGTGAGATAAAGCAAAGCTGCTGCGCCGATTGTGACTGACTACTTTCCAAAGATGATGCATGGATACGCAGAGTTCCATTTGAACGAGAGTCCGCTGGGCGACAGCAGTAAGCAGGAAGTAAACTCACAAGAATGGAAGGAAGAAAAGAAGAAAAGAAAAGAAACAAAATGCAACAAGAGCATGATAGCGTAAGAAGGAAGAAAAAGAGTAAAAAGAGTTAACACCACAGACACGCGAAAGGCCCCCAAAGATTCCGAGATAACAAGATGAACCGGCTACACAAACACCAGTCTCGTAAGATTCAACATGCACCGTCCCTTCAATTCCGTTGCGGCCCAAAATCCGCTTCCACAACCTTTCCCTTTTTCCCTTTAACTGTAAACTCCGCAAATAATGCGACATGATCACTTGGAAAATGAAAATTGGGGAACCCGGGCACCTTCTGCAGATACTCCTTGTCCACCTCCCCAAGTAACGCCGAGACATGAAGTGTGTTGGACGTATACCAAATATAATCAAGAATATCCTTGAAGTCCGGAGTATAGTTCGTGAAGCTCAGCTCGCCAATCGAGTTGTACGCCGACTTCAACTTGAACGGGTGCGTCATACCGACCCGACTCAGGTTGCCGTAGAGCCTCTTCTCCAGGTCCGGATGGGACTCGGTGAGCCGGCCGTGTGCGACCAAGTTGTACGCTGCCGACCCAGGCGCCGAGTTGAAATCACCGCACATGAATAGCGGAATCTGATCACCACTGGAATACTCCACAGACGGCGCAGGCTCAGGGGGAGGAGTATCCGATTCACCTTCTGCTTCCGAGAAGCGGAATGCAGTCTTGTCGGTACACGGTGGGAATTTCGCGTACTTCTCGGAGAGCTTAGTGATCTCCTCCATCAAAATGGCGGTCTGAATCAATTTCACGTCCTTGAAAGCAGGATCCCAGTAGAGATGCGCGTTCACGACGATGAAGCGGGAGCCTGTCAGCCGGTTCTCCAGGAAGATGACTACCGCAATGTGATCCTTCTGCCAGAGTCTGTTGTAGATGTCATCTTGGCCCTTGGCATCCGGTCGCCGCACTGCTGTTTGGCCGAAGTTGATCATCTGCTTATCGAGAAGGATGAACTTGCTTCCCTTGAAGAAGGTGGCACAGCCATCGACCGACTTCGCTTCCTCCTCTTGCATACCCATAGCTCTACCTCTAGGCCAGTATACACCCTTGTAATCGTTATAAGCCAGCTGCTCCCGGAAAAATCCATTGTAACTGCCTTGATCGATTTCCTGCAGACAGATAATGTCCGAGTCGTGTGACCTCAGCTCGCTCAGGATGAGCTCACGTCTGAATTCCCAAGAAAGAACACGGGACGGGGTATAACCGAAGTGACTCGGGGTTGCGGAAGAGTCGCAGAGGGCGTTGTGGGAAAGGACGGTAATCTTCTCGATGGAAGTGTTGGAGGAGCTAGCGGTCTCATCCAGGATGATCCAATCTCTATCCGGGGGAGGAAGATGCACTTTTTGGAAATAAAGTTAGTATGAGGTGCATGGTGAGAGCTTTGAGTCGTGAGCACAAACCTGGCATTTCTTCCCTCAGATACCGGACTAGGGCCTTTGTTCCTTCCTTGATGATCTGAGACTTCAAAATATCATTCAGAGGGTTCCCTTCAATTCCCAACATCTCTAATCTATAGAGATAACCCATCTCGAACGGAAGCGTGCGAATGTTGTTATCAAACAGGAGGAGCTGCTTCAAGCTTGTGAGCATACCGATCTCTTCGGGGAGCTCCGAAATATCATTGCTCGACAGATCCAAGTGGGTGAGCTTCCGCAGTTGGCCAATCGCCGGAGGGAGCGTCTTCAACTTGTTGTGATTGAGGTACAATTTCTCGAGAAAAGTATAGTGGAACAAAGATGTCGCAAGCGCGCGGAGACCCTGCCCGCCGAAATCAAGAGCATGCCAGCCTTGCCGAGGAGCAGGCTTGGACTTCACCAGGCCATTGCGATCGCCGCTCCCATTCTCTTGTTGCTCAGGGTGACTGGGCGCAATCTGGATACCCTTGGTTTGCTGTGCGACGGTGCGGGCGTAATAATGCGGGGAGCTTGCCTGCCGTGACTCCGCAGCCAACTGAAGTTGCTGCTGCCAATGTTCGTTCATGGTCTCGTCAATATCTTCGTCCACGTTAACATGAGCGCCATTCTGGAGGGGGCCGGGAGTGAAGTGCGGAGTGGCGGCAGCCAATGCCCCACTGGAGAAGTTGTGCTGGTGATTGATGCTATGAGAAGCTTGGTTGTGATGGGCATGGTGATGGGCCTGCTGTGCGGGGTGGGGGTGATGGCTCTGCGATTGGAACTTGGGGATCTGCATGCCAAATCGCTGGTGGGCCTGGCCGCCATTCATCATGACATGCTGCCCTTGGTGGGTTTGTGTATACATCGTAAATGGATTCAAGGCAGCAGCTTGGTTGATCGGAGGTGAACGTGAGGGAGAAGGAGTGTCGTGACTAAATTTTAGTCTTCCAGTGGGGGAGTTGGTCCCGTTGCGTACGAGATGACGTTGGTGAGAGTGCTGTTGCGTTTGTGTTTGGAAGAAGAACTGCCCGGCCCCAGGCTGCTGGAACCTGTAGGTACCATCTGCCATTTAACGTGGCAGACGAGACCGTAGGTCGATCGGTTGAATGTTCCTAGGGTAGGTTGAGGCTGGCAGGGTTGGGTTCGGGGAGGCGGCGGTGGCAGGAGAGAGAGGAGTCGGGGATCGGATGCGTTCTCTCCTTCTCTTCAACATGGGGTCCTGAAGCGGAACCACCCCAATCTAAGGATAGGCTGGAATCACAACCGCAGCAATTTCGCCAATGCTGGTTGCACACGGTTTCGAGATGCAGTCCTGGGGAGGTCGAGATCGGGAAAGCGATCGAGGGTTGAACGATACGGCGGGCGTCGGGCGACCGAGACACAAGAGGACGGACGACGAAAGTCTGTTGAGAATCCTGGGAACAAGGTCAGGTTGGACTCTCAGAGTCAAACTCGCAGGAGGAGATTGAACAATGCGCACTTGAAAATAGGTCTGAAGACGTAGCAAAGGCGCCGGCAGCTTGTTGGGATGAGACACAGTCGCCTTGACGCTGCGAAGTGGTTTGCATCGAAGGCGGGAGGTCGCCGGTGTCACGTGATGTCACATCCGGCGGGCGTGATTCGCCGCCAATGGCAAAGCCAAGACCAGCCTTGACAAGCACACCTCCAGACTTGGGTCTTCTTCCCTGAACAAGGATATCTCCCTAGCGAGCAGAGGATGCCTTGAAGTCAATATCCGACGTTTCTACAGGTTATCTATCCTTGGCTCACCAAGTGAGCATTGCTACCCTATTAACCTCCCCCAGGAGAACGGCAACCGGACGAGATCTCAGCATCGGTCCTTCACGGCCCCATATTCCCAATTATTGAGGGGACTAGGCGATCCGCGGGGGTCACTGCACAAGTAAGGAGGTCCCTCAGCAGTCAACAGCCCACACGCATTCAGAAGTATCGAAGATATGCTACATCTTACTTTTTGCATGAAGCATTCCGACTAAGACAGCGTCTACATTTTTCTTCAAAATCTCAATTGTCACTACCATATCATCCTACAATGACTTCCACAGGCCATGAAGGAACTTGCCTCACTATCTTATCTATATTAAACTGGCCATATCGCCTGTGCCAACACGCTCCCGTGACCCTATGACGGAGCCCATATCAAGACCACACATTCCTTGCACTGACACCACAGTGGCTCACTCGCTCGGTTGCTTCCGATAGGCAATGCAAGAAATATTTAGGAGGGCTATATGTTACTATTATGCTATATAGCACCCCTTTATTGCTTTCGGTCACTGACCACTTGGCACTATCTAACTAATCGAGCAAGGTCCCAACTAACTCGGGACACATTTCAGCTGATTGTTGGGTGAGTGCAAAAGGGGCCCATGTTTCCAGAACGGTCTGAAGCGTTCTTCTCAGTTCTTTGTAAAACCGAAACCCCTGGTAGACGAGCACCCATCCCCTTGCAACCCAAAATGATGCCAAATGCATGTGTCTCACGTGAAAAATACGAGGTCGTGGAATACTTAAGGTGTCTTGGTGGGTAATGATCCTCGTATAAAGCCCCCAGCCAAGCAGTGTCTCAGCATTTCCAGGATGTGCTCTGAGCATTAATTCATTTAGACTACCTAAAAATCCAAATGTTGCCTAATTTCTGCCAATAAACGCTCATCGTCGAAAAACGGGTAGATATGTGTCACTGGAAGTTAAATTCATACACCAATTGCCACTTGTACATTTTGTACCCCATATGTAGTAGCCAGTCATCAAGGCCACAGCAAACCCCCTTTCTGGGGACAAAGCAGGATTTCCAGGAGTGAACTCAAAAAAATAATATACCGCATTCAAGCTGCCACCAGCTTCGACTGTTATGCAGCAGGCCCTGTCTGTCAAAAATTAATGACAAGCAGTAACCGTTAGCAAACAAAACCTTCTCCCTTGCTGGAACCCCAGGTGCAGCAGGAATGCATAGAAACATGCCAGCCACACACACATACACCTGCCACATACCTGCACGCCGGACTCGTTCTCCGAGGTCAATGAATGCCTATGGCATCTATTTGCGACAGTTGAGGAAATACTTATCCCTTGCAATGTTTCAGTTGTTTCCGAATTTCGACTTGTAAAGCCCGCGAGGGTAATAACTGATGGTAGAGACGCTCCGGCGCAGTAGATCGATCTCTGTAATAGTCTAATATTACCCAGTCTCACTCAATTAGGTATTTATTGCTTGATCAAATATAAGTAAAATCGATCGTTAACTAGTTAGTTACTTTGTAGTAAGATCTCGAAATGATTAATCAATGAATCCATTCATCATTGCTTGGCCTCCGTATGCCAAGGACTAAACTTTACATTTTCACTCAGTACTCCATGATTCTTCTACTAAGTTTGCTCAAAGCAAAGCAGCTTGGCTTGCGATCAACATAAGCTCGGGAGATCATGGTGACTAGTATAGTATCCGCGGAGGGTATGGCACTGATTTGAGATACATATGTAGTAGTCTCGTTTAGCCTAGTATACTAAATAGTAAAATCGTGTTCAAGTTTATCTAGTGTAGTTGCACTGCTATTCTAGCTAACCTCATATCGTCACCCTTCGTTATGGGATCATGTGAGGGTTTCACAAGAGTAGCAGTCAATGGTATGTCTGGATGACATAGTTGATCAGTAGAACTGATTTGCTTACAAAGGGATCAAAGGGGTAAAACTACGTATGTAGTTAGGGTAAGTAGGGTGATTGTGATTGTAACATAACCGAGTCGGCAGGTAAACTATGTTCAAAGTGTAAGTGCAGTACGTGAAACAGCATGCATGCACGAGGATGAAACTGTTACACATTAGGTTTTCCGGCGGTGGTACAACAGTCTGTACAAATACTGAAGCATCTTCAAACAGAAGGCAGCGGGGAATAGACTTCAAGAGACCTAATCACATCATTTGATGCTGACAGCTTGTAGGCAGATTAGTTTCCACCCCCACCAGCATTCCAAACCAGCTCATTATCAGAACCCTCCGACTGGCGGAATAAGAACCGATGTTACAAAATCTGATACCTTAGTAGTTGCAAAATATGACAATCCATAAGCTGACAGCGTCACCACAACGACTTGGAAAGAAACCTGTAACAGTCATCGACAAAAGGGGAAAGAAAAGGGGGGGAGGTGGAGGAGAAGAGATTGGCGCCTAGAAATAAGAAAACCACCAGAAGGACTACCGAAAAGCCCAGACAGACCTGAGCTCGGAAAGAATGCCTAACTAGTCAATTACTTAGTGAGAATAATGGATAGTGGTAAAAAGAGCAAATTCCTGACAGGGCAACAAGTGACCCGTGCAAGCACGTGTCTTTTCAGGTTGAAAAGTGGCCCCGGCATGCATAATCATCCTGGGTGGTGGGCGGCGGAGCATTGCGGCCGCCGTGGGCCAAAATCCAACCAACAACAATTGGATTATTATTTGTTTTCTCCATTGTAACCAAGCAGTAAGTACAGTACTAGTAGTGGTTAGTAAATAGTTATCTGTCCTTGGGGTTCTGGTTGGTGGTTCATGTATGTAAATTATCCCCCTTCAAATGTCTGTCAGGTGGAAAGAGAAAGGATTATCCCAGCCAACAGATACTTGCTTGGTCGGGGGAATTGATCCTGGTAGGATGGAACAGGATCTGGCCTTCGTTAACAAATCTGTTACGATGCACTTTACCCGTTTGTATTCTTCTTCCGAGATCCATCGGATTAGAGTAGTTAGGGTTGGTCAGGATGGAAAATCAACGAGTGAGTGGTCGCGTCGGCAGCGCCATCGTTACTACAAATCACTGCTAGGATTCTTCAGTCCCACACGGCTACCCATATTTGTTCGTTAATATTGTTATAATTATCAAGTCGCTAACGCCAAAACAATCATGATGTCAAGGAGTCAGTCGCTAATAGCCTAAAAGAAAGCCTGAGACTAGGCTAGACGGGGTCTTCGAATCTTTCCGTCTCCCTAAGGGGGGAAAAAAAGAAAAAGGTATAACTATTTCTTTTTGGTTAATAATTCGATATGTTAATATCTGATTTGACTTTTCTTGATCAACAACTGCTTCCTTCTCCGCCCCTTAGTCTAACGGACGGATTCCGTCAGAAAGGCAATTTTTCTGCCTTGTGTCATCAGGAGACTTGAGGTGACCCATTTAGGAAGCTCAGCAAGTCAGCAGCATCTGCCGCGGTTCTTCCAGTTCCGTGGGATGTCGGCATGTCCGGGCAGGGCTCTATGTGGGCTGGCCTGTGGATTCGGGCGTCAGAACTTGAGTGGGTGACCCGTGAACTTGGGTAAGGGATGAAGCAGGGTACTTCGCAGTGGACGTGCCCAGTTTCATCATTACTCCGGCTATCGTTATCAGTCCTTCTAATTCGTTAGCAGCTCAGTCGGCCAGATTTCGGTTTAACAACAAGAACCACGGATGGCATTTCCTCCGCTGTAACCTTGATTCTTGTGTTTGGACCATTGAACTTATTCAGTTCCAGACAAGGGGCCCAGTTTTGGGCGGTTCACAGATAGCCAAGACCAGTCGAAACGGATCTGGAATACGGATTCAGCTCACCTTCACCCGGTAGCCTCTGCGCATGTACGGATTCTGATTCTGCATAAGAGAGATCAGATGGCACCGGGCGGAACAGTGAACGCAAATAATCGAACCAATAACCCGTAGCTCGGGCTGTTGATCTTGGATGCAGCTGCAGGAGAAAACAACCGTCATTGGTATCAGATCAGCAGGGCTTATGCGGGCGGGTTGGTTAGTATTTGTGTTTGGTTTGAGGAGGAGCATACTTGTAGTGGTTGTGGGAGCTTTTCCGCCACCACCAAGCGGGCGCATTCGTTCAGCTCCATCGTCCGGAGCCTTTCGGCAGATACCTTTTTTTTACCAGGCGCCGACTTTGACTAGTGAAAAATCAAACCAGAAAAGTAAATAAAAGTGACAGATTAAGTTATGTATAGTATCTACGGAGCGAATCCACCCAAAACGAGGATATGAAATCGCTCAGTTCGGGGAGGTCGCCGTCCGGAATCCCGCCAGAAGATTAGTGGCAGAAAGTAGTAAAGGCAGTCGCAGTCATAGTGGAGTGGCCCTAAGGGGGGTTCATTTAATCGAGCCGGGGCGATTTCGTTTTCGGTCACGATGTGGTTTTTGCCCCCCCTCCATCGTCCTCTCCCTCTCTCTCCTCATTATTATTCCTCATTCCTCCTCTTCTTCCTCTTCCTCCTCCTCCTCTTCTTCTCCCCGTTCTCGCTTCCCATGGGTCGAGGCCGCCTGGAACTGTATCCGGACTGCCTCACTTTCGCTTCCCTCCTCCTCCTCCTCCCCGCCCCCTCCGACTAGCGTTTGTTTCACTTCGCCTCCCACGCTCATTCCCTTCCCCATTACATTACCATGTCCATATTAATCGCGTCTCTGCCCCGTCCGTGATCGATCTGCGTCGCCATTGTCGTATGCAAGCATGCAAATCGTTGTTGCTAGCTGTACCAGATCGATGACAACCCAATCTTCGCTGCCAAAATGGATATGATGTCAAACGGGCCTGCGACTTTTGCGCCTGCCGCAACTTCAGGCTCCGATCTCCATTCGACTACCAGTTCGACCGGCCCAACCCTCGCTGCGACATCTACCTCTTCTTTAACCTCCCTCAATGACTACTCCAACTTTCCCCTGATCCGCCAGGGCGATCGCACATATCTTAGAGACCCCGAAAATAACTACCCTCTCCCCTGCGATCTTCAGGAAATCCATCGTCAGACCCTGCGCTCGCTCATGCTCATGCGCGTGTTCGGGGGTCCATTCTGCAACCCCCACCTCGCCGACCGTCCCCCAAAGCGGGTTCTGGAAATCGCATGTGGTTCAGGCCTCTGGTCCAGTATGAGCCATGAATATTTCACTCGACGCGGCCACCGCAACGTGTCTTTCCACGGTATCGACATCGTCTCCGTCGCCCCCGATCTGCGCAAGAAAGGTGTTCATTGGCAATTTCGAAGGCACGACCTTCGGAAGCCCCGCCTGCCTTTCCCCGACGACTATTTCGACTTTGTCTTCATTAAGGACGCAGGAATGTGTCCAGCTAGTCCGGCGCTGCAAGCGTCCGGGTTAAGCGAGCCACTGAGGGTGCTCAAATCTGGCGGAATTCTGGAAATCTGGGACTCTGACTGGGTCTTTCGGTCCTTGCTTCCCAATCCCGCACCCGCTCGCAAATTGGCGTCAAGGGAACAAGAGACGGCCGATGCGACCGCGACTTACACCTTTTCTTCCGCAACCCCATTCACACGAGTTCAGAACAAGTTTCTCCAGGACTATAACTCTTGGGTCGAAAAGGCCTTTGACCGACGCAAATTGACAGCCTTGCCGTGTGCGACAATTGGCTTGTCTTTCAACTCAGAAGTCGATGTACTAGAGAACGTTGATAGTCGCCGCATCGCTATCCCGCTAGGCGAACTACGGTGGGAACGTGAAGGTCATGGGAAGGATCCGGTCGGCGCGTCACGCAGACAGTTGACCGCAGATCAATTGTCCATCCGGCGCACGGCCCTTTTGACCGTAGTTCAGATGATTGAGGGCATGGAGCATATCCTCATGGAAGCTAGCGGTAAGACCAGAGATGAATGGGACAGGTGGTGGGCTGCCATGATTGCCGATCTGTTCCAGAAGGGAAGCCTCGCGAATGGGGAGTGCTTGGAAGTAAGCGCTTGGTGGGGACGAAAGAAATGAACCGTCTGTCAGTGAAGAGGATACAAGCTCAATTGCCGGTAATCTGGCGAACGCGGGAAAGAAAAAAAAAAAAGACACGGAAAGCGTCGTGACCATTGGTCTCTCTCATATTGGTGATACCCCACTTTTTCTCCTTTCAGTTTTCGCATATATATATTCCTTGGTGTAATATTCTTGAGAACGTGTTATTAAGGCTCCATGGTATTTTGAACGGCCGGGATCATTTAATTTTCATAGCGCTGTTTCAAGGTGCGATATCGCTTCAGATAGTACCTGGGCGCTTTTGGTCAGCATTGGTGCTGACATTGTCGAGCCTGATTTATCTCGATAATTATGAGACGATGAGTATTCGGATGGACATGGTTGATAGGCAGAATTAAACATAGATGAACTAGTATCAAGCCTTGCGGGCCTGGGCCTTCGAGTTTCACATGCTTCACCGTTTGTAGATAAGGAATTGCAGGCAGTCTGGCGCCGATGTGATTCCGGTAAGGGAGGGGCACACGGTAACTCACAATGCTTCGATTTCTGTAGAATAGAACCAATTATCAGCTCGGTTTCAATACCCTGGCAAACAATAGGAAGATTTGTCAAACGTACCCTTCTTGACAAATTCCGCCCTAGCAATACCTTTTCGGATCTGTTCCTCATTATCCAGATGCGCTTGGCTGGAAAACGCTTTATGTAACCTGTTCCGATAATATTCGTAGCCTAGGGGATAATTGCGACCAAGGAAGAGCAGCTCTATCGATGGCGTGGAGTCAGCTTGCTGGCTGCGAGACACTCAATATTGAGAAGAAATGACTGGAAGATGATAGCATGCGTGAAGTCGGGGTGATGCACATACCCTTGTATATATGTATGACCTGCGCGCGAAGTTCCGGATTCGTCATATTGGATGGTGTTGCCAGTCAATGGAATAGGGGGGCCAGGACTCTCCGAAGGAGGTGGGAATGTGGAGGAGGAAGAAGTTGTTTGTCCCTCAGCTCTAGGAAGAAGTTAGCCGGAACACAACTACCGGTGACGTCGCACGGGCGGAATCCTTACTTGGTGCCTCGGAGGGGTAACCGTCCAGTAAGCACTTATTATACTAGCTGTTGTATAGGCTGGTAAATTATGATTATAGGATTGGATGAATGGCTTTCTTTAGATAATTCTAAAGAGCGTTGAAGTGACAAAGTATCTTTCGAAACCGTGGTGCTTATTAGTATCTGATGGTTGTAATGGGTGGAGATATGTCCGGGTGTCTTGAATTGTTATAGGATTATGACGTTAGATTTGCGCAGTGTCTGGTGTAAGGATCTAAATCAACTGCACTGGCTATTTATGCTGATCAATAAGGAAGATGCATGATTTACTGAAACATATCTATCCAATTGTGAACACATAGGTTGCTGAGCGATCATCTTGTTGACATTCAGATGTATATATTCTACTTACTAGCCTCAATCCATCCAGGGCCCGAAGCTGGAGCAGCTATTAGTAGTAGCGTAATAGTAGTTAATAACGCCTGTATATCGTAAGTGCTAAGCATTGTATACAGACTATCACTGTTCATGTATCGGATCTCACATAGGGCTTATCGTAGAAAGCAAGCATAGGGGTAACAAGCAAGCACCGGCCATGTCAGCTTGCGGAGAGAGGGAAACAATGCGCGGGGCTAGCCGAAGCTCCAACCGCCCGGACAACTAGCCGAAGTGAGAGAAGCTCCTCGGCTGGAAACAACGACATTCTGACAATTGACAATAACTAGCTTCACCTATTCTCATATTATAATAATGTCGCTTCAAAGATTCGGAAGGCGACCCCTGGCTGGATTTGCCGCTCAATCTTCATCACTTACCACCCGACTCTTCTCTGTCTCGACCGCATTCCGAAATGCCCCCGTTTCCACACCAGGGACAACGCCAAAGAAGCCTCATACCATCGATCCACGATGGTTGACCATGACCAAGCGAAGAATTGGCAGATGCATGATGTTCGGCTTAAAGCCCCCGCAGATTCAAGAAGCCGGGGAGATCCTACAGCAGATTGCAAGGGATTGGCGAGAATTGATCGCTGGCAGCGAAGGCTATTTGACAGATGAGACACGAAGAGGGCTATTCCAACAGAGCGTTGCGTGGGGAGAGATGGTATGATATAGATTCACCTGGTGCATGGCAGCTTACATATGGCATGATGCATAGATGCTAATGTAGGCGCTTGCATTGAACAGGACAGCATGGTAAGCTAGGAACTTCTTTCAAGCAACAAGTGATGTCGACTAATGCGTGAGTCTAGGGTGTGTATACTTCTTTCTAAAGCAACATTGGGTCAGTGGATTACAGCAAGGGGTCTAACATCGTGAGCGTCTGATTAGGACATGTGAACAACGTCACATACCCCCGATATGCAGAGACGGCGCGCGTGTACTATACCCGCAACTTTGCCATGCATATAGACCCGGCCCATAAGACAGAGTGGTTGAATCTTGTCAGCTCCAAGGGCATCGGACTCATACTTCGAAGTATCAAGATTGACTACAAATTTGTACGGTCTTCTCAGCTGAGATATAGGACTGATCGCTAATACCTCGTCTCTCTTTGCAGCCCATGACCTACCCCGATAAAGTTACGGTATATCATAAGCTGGTTCACGATCCGACATCCCCTGATGCACCTCGTCATGGGTTCTATCTCCATGCGATGATAGTCTCCGAGGCTCGCCAACGGCCCGCTGCCCGCGTTTCCGAGGACCTGGTCATTTATGACTACAAGGCAATCAAGAAGGCAGAGCTTCCGCCGTTTGTCATGGAACAGTTCAAATCCACCTGGGATCTTCAAGAGAAAGCTAAGAGATACTGGCAGGAGCGCATCCTTGATATAGAAACGAGGGTCCGCACATTGGAAACAGAGAGCTGGGACCGGGAAGATGCGGTCGAGGATACCGGATCTGCGAAGCAGTGATGTAGCAGGCTGAATTCCCGCTTTCGGGCAACTTTGCAGACCGACAGATCTAAGATCGACAATGTACATAGTAAATGAGGAGGATCGAGCGTAGGGCACTGGCATAGATTCTGCTACCAAGCGCGTACTGTAAGCACAGGGGTGCGGTAACGTATGGAAGCTTACTGGTAATATATCGATCTACACGGCATACAGTATGCGTATTGATACTAGCTGTATTCCATCACTTCAAGTCTTCTTGGGCGACATAATCGTTCATGAGGAGACTCATCATCACATCTTGAACTTAATCTTCTTTGTACGTCCTCGCATTGAGATTTCAAATCTGGCATAACCTGAGACCTCTTCATCACCTCCCATCTCACCCCAGAATGACATCAGGTCTTTCAGACATCCTTTGGAGTGGAGTCAGATCAACGATGGCCATTGGCTGTCCGAGGAGAAGACTACAACAATCAAGGACGAAACATAACGCAAGTATTTCAGGTCAACTAGAGCAGGTCAAATTTCTTACTGTCTTCATAAGTTCGCTGACCATAGATTGCTACAATTTCCCAACCAATTGCGTCGTCCAGCCTCATATCGGTTTCTGAACCGATTCAAGGAAATGCCATTATTTTAGCATCCTACACCACCGATTGATGGTGCCTTATTTCTCAGAACAAGTGGGCGAGACACAACAACAATTTTGAGATGTCTAAGTTTTACATGTCCCCCGTAAGGCGATGGAGCTCGGCGACACCATGACTATCCGCTTGGTCGAAGGCATGAGTTGCAACTTATAAGGAAATGATGTTGACGCCAAAGCTAAACATGCTGCTGTTCTCTTTCATGGGGCAGATGTTTGGCCATAAGTCTCTTCACCTCGTGCATTGGCCCTCCTACGTCTACCTCCAAGAACTATCAGAAAAGCACCAGCGCAGCTTACGTTGACTGCACAAAAGCTCTGCATCCGTCTGCAAATATTCAGCTCGAGATTCTCAGTTAAGGTGTAGTGTCAATGTTCTGAACATCGGTCTATGTCAATTGAAGAGCCCGGTTGACTCGGCTCGGTTGTCGGCAGCTGATAACTACTTACCTCTTGAGGCCGAAGCTCAGGTCCACAACCGCCATGTGATGCTTGGCCTAGCTCTCTTTACTATGGAACTGATACTCAGGCATAATGCTTGACTGCTTTAACTTCTCAGGCTACAGGGATGCAGATGAGTTGATAGCGACTTTGACCAGCCATCTAGAGAAGTTTCACACATAGTTTGCTCAGTAACACAAGATCATGGTTGCCGTGGAATCCGATTGCAATTTGTTGGTTCGTCACGGCTTGACCCGCTCCATTTGCGCCACAGAGTCTCTTCTAGACCCTCCCGCCTAGTGCCTCTGATCGGAAGCTTTGCCGGATCGGTATCAGTTCCAGTGTCCCAGTTAATTGCTTGGTTTTCCAAGCTTTGACGCCGGTCTTGGGTTATGAGGCTCACCACAGGCAAAATTGTTTACCTATGAAAGACAAAAGGGTAAGTACACCTGGTCTCGCACTGTAATACTACTAGCATCAAGGGTCCAATACCCTGTGTTACAGCCACAACGACACGACAAATGGACGGGATATCCCTGGTAATCATCTGACAAGGCTTGCGGGGCTCGACCGGCAAACCCTTCAATTTAGTCAACGCGTCTGTCCACTTTAGGGTAGAAACGGTCGATCATCCATCCGATTCCAAGGCTAGTCGATCTCTGTCCGTGAAAACGGCAATCATGTCAGGATACTTGCCTATCGAGCTGCAGCCAGCCCGATATCCGGCGTATGACGAACATTCCAATTAGCCTGTGATTCTAGGCAAATTGCCTGAGCAGCGACAATTAAAGTATCAATCGCTCCTACGGGGCAGATCAAGCGAGAAAAGTGATGATTTTGCTAGTGTGGAGATGTTTCGGTGAAATACCGCTGTTTGGTATGATACAGTATTTCCTATATATAGCTGGGCAACAGCTGGGTATTGAAGCTTATCTAATCTCACACTTACTGCTTTACCACAAGATGTCGTCGTCGTCAGTCTTCGACAAGATTCCGATGGAGACGGGCTATCCCCCAGATTGTCGGTGTCAGCTTGCTTTTTTCTTCGGGTCTCGTGAATTGCAATTTTGGTCCTTTTAATCTCCATTAAGCAGGGAACCAATGGCATGACAATGATCTCCTTACAGGGTGCTGTTTCGGACTTGGCACGTATAAGCATTACGAGCATCATTTATCGGCTGTACAACCTCCCACGCAAGTGTCAACTGA